CTAGCTAAATATTTGTTAAATATTTAGGTAGCTAGCTAAATATTTACCTTGCTAGCTAAAATATTTTAGTGGCTAGCTAAATATTTAAGTTAAATATTTAAGTGGCTGGCTAAATATTTACCTTGCTAGCTAAATATTTAAGTTGCAAGCGAAACATTTAGCTCTAAACTAAATATTTAAGTCACAAGTTAAATATTTAGCTTGTTAACTAAATATTTAATGTGCAAGTTAAATATTTAGTTTATAAACTATGACATTTATAAATGTATGAATATGGTGAAAAACTGACTTTGAAAAATAAATCTCTTCTTTCTTTCTTATAAAAGGCTAAATAAAACAAAAATATTGGTGGTAATTTTTGACTGTGTAACTTTACAAACGGCACCCCATAGTTTGCCCTGCGTGCAGAAATGACAAACATCGATATCTGGCATCAAACAATCAGCTGCTGTTCTCTCAGGAAAGAGCAGGGGATAAATTAACACTGAGGTTATGTCTGTAGAGGATTTATTTTTGGCGAATCAGCAGTGTGTTTCTGAATAGTAAAAGCTAGACACGCAGAACATTTTTATCGTCCGTCTCACCCCCTCTTCTCCTCCCGGTGACCCTCTCAGAGGTGACGGTGGTGTATCAGAACGGGCTGCCTGTGTTCTCTGTCAGTTTGCCGTCCAGGCGAGAGCGCTGTCAGTTCACCCTCAAGCCTCTCAGCGACAGCGTGGGAGTTTTCCTGCAGCAGCTCCAGGCGGAGGACCGAGGCATCGACCGGGTAGCCATCTACTCCATGGGTAGGCACGCACGCAAACACAATAGCACTCAGCGTATTTATGCAAAGCGTACAGATCACTTTCCTGTGTCGGTGAGTAAACGTGTCAGCCGATGCCTCCTGACAGTCAGCCCCAACAAGCCTGATTATCAGGAGAGGTGAAGAGAATTTAAAGTGGAATCTACTTGTTTCTCTCTGTGCAGACGGAGCGAGGATCGCCTCCTCCACGGGCATAGACGTCCTGCTGCTGGACGACTTTAAGCTCGTCATCAACGACACCACACACCTAGTGCGGCCACCCAGGAGAGGTGAGTTCCAGCAAAGTGGGAGGAGCCAGGTCCACCCCGTCGGACCGTATTCAGACCCGTTTACCTGTTTGCGCAGAGATCCTGCCCCACGAGGAGGCCGAGAGGTTAAACGACGTCAAGTTCCTGGTGCAGCAGCTCTACACCACGCTGCGCATCGAGGAGCACCAGCTCAGCAAAGAGCGGGAGCTGATTGGACGGCTGGAGGATCTCAACTCTCAACTCCGCCCTTTAGAGAAGGTCTGAAATACTTTTAGATGTATTTTTCTTTTTGTGTAATTCCACATAAAAATTAAAGATTTTATTATTAGTGAATTCATACAGTTATTTTCAGAAATATTTATAGTAATTTTTGAGCAGCTAGAATACTGTAAGTCAGCTTATCACAGGATACTAAGTGTTTTTAAGTGAGAAGAGAATAGTTAGTTAGTTAGTTAGTTAG